TATGTATGGATTGTGATAAGAGTTGTATAACCCCCTAATAAAATGATTAAAAAAGAATAATAATTTAAATTTAAATTAAATTTTAAAAAGAGTTGTATGAGCCCCTAATAAAATGGTTAAAAAAGAGTTGTATGAGCCCCCAATAAAATGATTTAAAAAAACAACTATGATGAATTCTACCACTAAAATGAAACCTCTGCCCCAGTGTATTATAGGAAGGCCTATTAAAGTCAGAGGCCGTGTAAAGCAAACAAGAGTCTGTCTGAGAAAGAAAACGCAAGTATTTTCAACTCAACCAAGTGATAGGAAAATGGTAAGAGAGTACCCTGTGAGAGGTGTGGTAAGACAGACCTGGAAAAGCGCTCCTATCAAGTTCCAGGTTTTGCAGGTTTCCCTGCACATCTACACCCTAAACTCACCACCTGAGAGTTTTCTGAGACCATAAATCTTTGTCCATGAGAGTAGCTGATGTGTTGGAACCACTCCCCTTGCAGTTAGCAGCTCAGCACTTAACCTACAGAGCCTCCAGGCCTCCTTTAAAATGAGTATAATAATGGTGTCAACCTCACAGGAAAAAGTAAGTGAGAAAAAGGCTTAGTGCAGGACCTATCAAAGAATAACCCTAAGTAAAATGTAACTATTGTTATTGTTAATATGCTCATGAAAATAGGATGTACTACCAATAGAAATGCTTCCGCAAGCTGATGAAACACTGGAAGCACTCGTCTATGCCAGGAAATTTGGAAGACAGCTCCTGGTCAACACATTCCAAACAAAGGTGACCCAAGAGAATGCCCAAATTATAGAGCAATATTACTGATAGCAAGTAAAAATTTGATTAAGATCATCCAACAATAGTTGCAGCAGTACATTGACAGGGAGCTGCGAGAGGTTCAGGCTGGATTCAGAAGAGGACATGGAACAAGGGATGTCATTGCTGATGGCAGATGGGTCTTGACTCAAAGCAGAGAATACCAGAAAGAAGTTTCCTTTTTATAAGAATTGACTATGCAAAGGCATTAACTATGTGGATTACACAAAACTGTGGGTAACTTTAAGAAAAATGGGAATTCCAGAACACTTCGTCATGCTTATGCCGAGCCTGTACATGGACCGGCTTGGAATTAAGTGGATGGCAAGTGAAAAAGCCCATGGTCAATATTGTGAGCATCAGGAGCCTCTGTTTTGAGGTAACAGCTGGGGACCGGGGCAGAAATGGAAGCGAAACCAGGAGAATGCCCACTAAAGGCAAAATGCTGCGTCAGGTGCTTTCGTTCGCTACTTCCTTCGACGCACATAAAAACGTTATGAAAGTTTAACAAGCTTCACTTTTACCAAGGCAATTTCGCTTGATAAAATTAAGAGATTTGCTTAAATTCCCACACATTTGGTCTATCACACTAAGTGATAGAATCAGGATCCAAATCTGAGCTTCAAAAATGCTGTTCCTTCAGTTAAAAATCAGGAATACCATGTAATGTATTGTTCGGTCTCAGTAACTTCTTTTCTAGCTTATAGTCTATTTAATTTCACCTAGCTATGGAGGAAACCATTCTGATTTCTTTTCATTAAATTTTTTTTTGCATTTCCTTGGGAATATTCAGCGAATCAACAAATCAGGTGTAACTTATATCATCATCGTCATTATTACAATCACAAGAGTAAAATACAGAACTATTCTTTGGTACAAGTTTCATCAAAGACTATTGAAGATCGGAAATGTGCCGTCTCCATATATAACTGATTGAGGCTGTACACCAGTGTATGGACTATAAAGTTCTCAGCCTATCTACAGCCTCCATGCCATCTCAGGCCGAGTCAATGGCTACAGCATGCACCAGGAAGGGCATATTGTTGTTAGGGGCCTGTGAGTCGGCTCTGACTCCTAGTGACCCGATGCACAATACAATGAAACACCACCGGGTCCAGGACCAGCCTCCCAATTGTTCTTATGTATGAGCCCATGGTTGCAGCCACTGTGTCCATGCATCTTGTCCAGGAACGTCTTCCTTTTTGCTGTTCCTCCACTTGAGGAAGCACGGGGTCCTTCTCCACGGACTGGTCTCTCCTGATAACATGTCCAAGGGATGTGAGAAAAAGTCTCACCATCCCTGCTTAGAGGGAGCATTCTGTCTGTACTTCCTCCAAGAAAGATGTGTTTGTCCTTCTGACAGCTCATAGTACTTCACTAATCTTCACCAGCACCATTATTCAAATGCAGCGATTCTTC